CAAAAAGCCAGAACATAATTGAGGCTTCTACATCTATCTCATTGAAATCTGAGGTGAGTAATTATATTTTCTATTATTTTATTTTAACATACAAAAATATCTTTATCAAACATTTGGATGTGCACACAGGTTGCAGATGATGCCCTCCTTGTTGTTTTAGCCTATAACAATCTTGTCGTGGGTAATATCGTTCCTTTTATAAAGATTGTAAAGGCTTTCTTGATAACAAGATCACGAATGTCCCTGCGTTCGGCAAATGAGCCTGTCCTCCAGGCAATTGTCGAGATCCTTCTCCCATCAAGATACCATGTTCCAGAACTTTGTTTGGTAATGAATAGCAAAAAACAAAAGGGATCAGGTCACTTTGGCTATCTTGATGTTTTTGTTCTGGGAGGAGCTGAGGGTAATAATATTAGTTTAGAATTAAAGTACATTTCATTAACTGGTTTGATGAGAGATATTAAGGGAAGTTCGATGAAAAAAATTGATGCGAATGAATTAGAAAAATTAGATAAGATTCTAGAAAAAGAAGATGAAGAATCTTTACTTGGAAGGAAATATGTATATTGGTCTGAGGAACAAATAAGATGAAACAGACATCTATACGTGGAATATTAAATAATGGAGTAAAACAGGTGGGATCGTACATGAATACGATCGCAAAGGGACAAGTCGTTGGTTACTCTGCTGAAGGAGTATTGGATGAAAGGATTCAGATAGTCAAATCGGATCCTAATAAGTTAAAAGGTTTCGTAATAGTAGTAATTGGTTTTCGTCGTGTTATATCGAGACCTGTCGAAGACATAATGTCGCATTATAAATATAATAAGGTTTAAGAAGGTATTGCATTTTTTCCTTTTAGTAATTGAGCAATTTTACATATTTTAGGCTAATCATTTGTTCATACTCATTTGTATTTATTTTATTTGTAATTTAATACAGTCAGGGAATATGCTAAATTTGGTATTTCCTAATTTATAAATGATAAACGTTCTGGAATTTCTTTAGAGTACAATTAAAAGAGGAAGGAGGGAGAAATGACAATTAAGATGTGTGTTTTGAATAATTTTAAGAAAAAAACTAGAGTTGCAGCGATTGCAACAACCACCATTTAATAAACACTTACCCTTTGGAATCGGCGAGCTTGATTCCTTTGCGTTTTCTTTTTTGTTTCTCAACTACTGACATGGTTTTTTTTTTTAAAAAAAAGAAAAAGATTGTTATTTAGATCGACATACACAAGAAAAATTTTATTTACGCGTGTGTTGTTGTACGAATATTGTTATTATTGTTGACGCGATTGATTTTTTTTTTTTTTTTTATTTTATTTTTGGAAAAACAATTTATCTATCTCTTACAAGACGAGAAAGCGTAAACATTGTTGCATAGTATGGCTTGCTTTAAAGAAGACAAGGTGTTGTTTATTGATGGTGAGAGGTACACTATTTTTTTTTAATCATTTAATTGTTTTATAAATATTGATATACATGTATTGATTCTTTACTTAATAAAATGTCTTGTTGAAATCAAAACATGGAGCAGATCTTGTCTGTCTCTTTGGGTATTTACGAGATTCTTGATGATAAACGATTGGTATTGTTTTTGTTTTTTCATAATTAACATTAATAATATTAAATATATAATTACAAGAAAATGACAAGATGATACAACTGTTACAGAAGAAACAATTTAAATATGTTATGTTTGATTATTGGAAATTTACAGATGTCAAGGCATACATGCTACTTGAACACTATACAGTCATTCTCACACATTCCTTGTGTACACAAGGCTAATCTGACTTGTCCCCCCGATGATACAACAATGCAACAGAATTCCAGGGGGGGTAGCATTGCCCTGGAATTTATAAGAGCTTGCATCAATGTAAGGACACTTTTCACTAATCTTCCCCTCATACTGTCTGACCAGAGAAGGCTGCTGACATGCTGGCCGAAAAGTTGACTGCAACGATCCTACCTCTAGGGTAAAGATGACTGGCTCTGCAACCAAGAAATTGTGCAACCTGGGTCAAAGAGTTGTGATTTTAGGTGTACATCAACATCTAGACCATCGAAGCAATAAGAAATTTGCTGAAACTCATTTCAAGCCCGGGCAGGAATTTGTAATTCAGATTGGGATTGGGGACTCTGAAATTGCATTTGTGCTCTGATGTTAAGAGGAAAGTTGTAAAATAAAATGGTTCAGATTTTTTTTTTGGTATGTTATAAATTAATCATTCCCAAATTTTCTGTTTCTTTAATTTTTATTTGATCAAACTGAATTTGTTTTTTAAATGGGGACCTTTTCCCATATAACCCACCCTAGATTGGAGGAGTGTAGCTCAATGAGAGCATGTATCTTGACAAGTATAAAGGTGGCAGTTTGACTCTGCCCACTCCTATTGTGATAGTCACCATGATCATTGGCATCAAGGAGAAAGTTGTAAAATAAATGGTTCAGATTTTGTTTGGTATGTTATTTATAAATCAATCATTTTCCCAAGTTCTCTATTTCTTTATTTTTATTTGACCAACTGAACTTGTTATTTAAATGGGGCAGGGTTGTTGGTGAAAAATCTAAAAGCAACCCAGGTTGCAACTTCCTGAATTGGAGAATTTCGAATAGTTTCCTTGTCTACTGCCCTAACCCACCAACTTTATTCTAGAGAGGGATATAACATAAAGTAATCATCACACAAGTGCCAACTCTCATCAGCAATCAATGCTCATATGGAAACAGCCAGCCTGGTCTGAGAGGAAGATAAGGAAAGTTTTGTCCAAAGCCTTCCAATGTATGGATGGCCTTCACTTGTGAGAAAAATTTCACAATTATGAGGGTGTGTGAAAGCACTAATTTGTATGTTTGTGATAGGAAATTTTAATTAAATCTGACACATGCAATCAACATCAGATTTATTATTCATGAGCAACCATAATTGATAATCAGGAAAAG